GCAACTGTAATATTTAAAAAGGAAACACCCATTCACTGAGTGTTCGACCCTGACAGTATTACAGATAGATATGATGCAGAGCCTGAATTAGATCAGGCTACCAGTGTTTTACTTCTTCCCTGAACATTAACAAGCTCCTTCACTAATGTGGATATTTGGGCAGACTACTGAGGTTGTAATGTTTGAGATCACCATTTTGTGGGCTATTTTTTTTCCTTTTTTTTTTTTTTTTTTTTTAAGTATCACAGTAGTTTGTTACACAAATCCCCCATCCCTGGATTAGAGTCATTTAAACTAGCTGTTGGGACCACATAGTTTAGTAAACTAAGAATCAAGTCTGTAAAAAGTGTAAAGGTCACAAAGAACCATAGTTCTGGTATAATGAGGCATACCCTAATACATCATTTAGTGTACCCTGGCTGCTCCTGACCGTGAGAAGCTTGTCTTCCGTGAGATAAGGCTACATCCTCAAGCAGGTGAGTCTAAATATCACCCTTCAAAAACACCAAATAAAATTACAGCAAAGGTAGTGTTATAAATAATTAACTGACATTATCTGAAGGTAGTGTATGTAAGTTTTCCCTCCCCTCCCCTCCGGGTGAGCACTAAGCAGACAACAAATGGTAAGTAAGGTTAATTTAGAAAGAAAACAGTGGAGAGCCTAATTAGACCCAATTGATTATCTATCTAGGTGACAAATCTGAGTTCAAGAGAGGTACCATTCCTAAATAATTTGATTTAGCTCAAATCTTTCCATCAACTGGATCAACAAAAATAAGGGGGGAAAAAAGATTTCTGAAACATTTTTGAAGAATGACAGTCTGGTTTTCATTTGAAAATTGCCTGGTTTTAGGAGAGTGTCAGTTTAAAAAAGTGGACTTATTTCTATAAAGGCAGATATGAAAAATCCAACATCAGAAGTTCAGGCAGGCTCTACAAGCAAGATGTCCACTTCTACAGATCTGCATTCTTTGTGAGGTAACTCAATTCTCTATTACAGAGAAACATGCAAAAGGCAAAAGAAAAAGAAGAAAGAAAGAAAGAGGGCAGTGGGCAGGTGAAGGAGGGAAACTGCGCCATACCAGGCTGGAAAAATTTACAAATGTGACATTCAGAGCACATCTTTCACCTGTGTTCACATAAGTCTATGCTAAACTGCAAAGGAAAGAGCACTGCAGTAAACAGGAGACTCAGGTGCGCTCAGTGATGGTTGAACTATGCAGTAGTGCTCACCCAGTTTGCAAAGTAATTGGCACTCTACAACATCCCTATTCATCCTTCAATTCATTCGCACTTTGTGCTGCTTCTCCCTGGGGATCTAATTCAATCTTTACTGAAACATCCTGCCCCTCCGACCTCATTAATTTCATTTTTTTCTTTGGAGGGTTTTTCAAAGTGCCCAGCCTCTCTTTAACTTTGTACTCCAGTGTACTGTGGGGGATCCCATAAATACTCTGAGCTTTGGAAACACTCATTTTCCCGCTCATAACCACAGAGATTGCTTCCTCCAGTATCTCGCTGTTGTACTGTCTGTATCTCCCTCTTTTCTTCCTAGGTTGCTTGGAGCCAGGATCTCCCTCTTGATCTGAGGTGGGATATGGCTGTCCAGAGGTAGACTGCTCAGCATCTGAGCCCCAGGAATCTGGTCCAGCATCCAGCAAACTTCTCCTATTTTGTTTTGGAAGGATAGCCCTTAACTTTTTGCTAAGCGCGCTCTCCGTTTGTGAACCCATTACCAAAGAGCTATAGCTGTACTGGTCACCAGTGCGGGACTCCCATGAAAGGTCCATGCCTCGAACTTGTGGTATCTTTAAATCCACAGGAGATGAATGGCTCACGTCCTTTTTCCCATCCTGTTTAGTTTGAAGTGCCATTTTTTGAAAGGCAGAGTTTTCTGTAAGAAAAGGAAGGTCACTGATGTTGCTGAGTGCACCATTTCCCCTGAATTTCATGCGGCTGAAATTGAATTCGTAGTGTGGTTTTGCCCAAGAAGCCTCCCTGGATAATATTAAGTGCTGTCCATGATTCTGTAGTCCAGATGGCCCATGGCTGGCAGCTGTAGAAAACTGGTTTCTGCTCAGCAGTTCTTCACTAATCTGGAGTGATCGAGCCAGCGGTACTTTAAGAGATGTGGAGTGGCCATAACCTTCCCTGGTTCCATCCTGCAAGCTTCTTGGAGGTACCCCATCACCACTCTGTAGTCCCTCCGGATGGTGCTGGCTGGGTCTCCCAGGTCGCCTAATTGGATGGAAGGAAACTGATGTGAGCAGGACTTGCACAGGTAGGGAGGGATGGGTGAGGGGGCCACTCCTTTATTAGAAGGCCTTGCTTGGGTAACATCACTTTTTGTGTTATTTATTTTTCTCTAAATTTTTTTTTATTACTTTAATTTTTTTTTAAGTCTCAGCATCAGTCAGTTTTAAAACTTGTTCGCAAAAAAAGAGAAGCTTTTTGGGCAAAGAAAAATGAAACCTGTTGGCTGGTCTCTGGTTGGGTTCACAAATTCTCGGAGTAGAAAAGACTTCGCGCAAGCGTCTGAAAATAGCACCTTAATTACAAAGTAGTAATCAATCGCCATAGATCTACACACAACTGTGTTACTGGTGTGACGTTACCACTAAACAAGCACAGTAATAAAAGAGTAAGCCAAAGTGCAACATATTCAACATGCATATATGACTGTCACCTGCAGTATCTACACATAGGTGGAAACCCTGGATAGTGTTTGCTTACATTATATTCAAGAATTGCTGCTCAGGATAAAAGAAAAAGCTTAGCAGGCCTCAAAGGTATTTGCCTGACTTTCATTAAGCACGAAATATGAAAGCTGGGATACTGTGGATCACAAAGAAAAACGCTGCATTATACTAGACTTACCAAACTGCTCTCTTAACAACTAATTGCATATATACACAGCCCTGAATCTCATTTCATATAAAGCATGGCTAGGAAAAGGAAGATCTAAGCTCCAACTGTCATCCAGATCAAGGGTTAACAAAAAAAAAAAAAAAAAAGGAAAGAAAGAAAAAAAAAAAAAAGCAGTATGTATTTTTACCATTTCCCTTTCATCACAAGTGTTCTTTCTATGGAATTAAGTACTACTGCTGCAGAGAATCACATCTATTTTAATGCTTTGATTGCTTAGCCCCCTGTAGTTATTAAGTCACATTGGTTTCAAAATCCACCTCCAAATTTCTCCATGTTCAGCATACAAATTAACAAAGAGAATCTATTTTAATGCTCTGGGACACTATACTGGTGTAAAGCCCTCTGGCTAAGTTGGCAGTACCTAAGGATAGGACACACAGTACTGAAAAGCTACATTATTTTTAACATCACACTGGAATTAAAAGAAGTCTTTAGAGAAAAGACATCCACTGAAAGAACCTGGCATGTAACATACACAATGCTTGATAAACATGCTGCTCACTTCTCCCCAGGATGTGACAAGTCATAGGATGTGCACAAGAAAAGTCAACAAGGATTCAGAACAAAATCCAGAGAAATGGATCAAAGTTTGCAGTTCCAGAGAACCCTCTCAGACAATGTGCATTCTCCACCCCTTCTACAGCATGTATCAGCATCACAGTGTACAGCAGTGATTCTACACCTAAATAAAGGTCATAATGGCAGCTAACAGAGGGTTACACCTGAACTTAGTGATGTTAAACAAACTGCAGCCAGCCTCATATACCACACACCTGTACAAGTAACCACAGGTGCCAGTATGCCGCATCCTCTCTGGACACACAGGACTGAGCAGGACAGTGCCAGATGCCGGCCCTGCCATTCCTGTGTGTTGGACTTTGGCCCCCACTTGATTCACAAACAAGGGAACAAACAATAGAGAGCCTCAGTGGCTTATGCTGCCTTCCTGGGCAAATAAAGATGGAAATAACCTGTTCAGAATTAAAAGAGAAGTGGGGAAAGTTTATGCTAAAGAATTGTAAAAAGTATTAAGAGTAAATTTTAAGGAAGGATTTAAGTATTAATAGAAATATTAAACAGAAATCTTGAAAGGAAAAAACAGAGACAGAAATATTTTTCCAAAGAAAACTGCAAAAATTCAATCAGCTGTTATCAGTATATGGGATTGGTAGTGGAAGAGGGTTGCTAGCTGAGATTTTCAAGTTTTTCAAAGGCTACCATAAAGCTAAATCCAGCAATTTATAGCACTTTAAACCATATACTATTTCTGTACTTCAATAAAAAAATATTTGCTCACAGTAGCTTCAAGATAATCAACACCCAAAACTCCTCTGAGTCCCAGTCAGCCTCTCCAGTACAACCCTAAGAGTAAAGGGTTTCTAAATGTATGCAAATGGTGACCATTAGAAATACAAAACCTAAAGATTTTTTTTTATTTACCAGCATTTCACACTTTGAACTGTTTAGGAAAGAGTAGTATACCACATACTTCGTGATTATTTTTTAAAAAATCTTGTTCAGTACTACAGAACAATCGCAAATCCAAAGTTACATTTAAAGTTTTCTGAACTACTAGACTTCCTGCCCCATGTCCTTTTCTAAGCTTTGGTTTAAGCTAGGGAATATTAACAAAAATCATGCAGTGATTTAAATCTAATTCAGCATGGTTTATCACCCAAATAATTATTACCTCTAAAATAAACTTTCCTGTTAGCTAACTTTGCCCTAAGTGAAATGAAGTCTAATACTGCAAAGCCTCTAAAACTCCTCATGCATTTAAATAAACTCACATCTCACGGAAATCACCTCTAATAAACCCAGGAAACAGAAAGATCTCTGGCTAAGTACCAAACTGGCCAAAATAACAGACATTAACTGCAAGTTAAACCTGTCTCAGTTGGCAACAACTCTTAATTTGGCAGGTGGGGTGAAGGTATTTGCCAAAGGTACAAATTGAAAACACATTACTCCAAAGGGTTAACACCAAAAGAAAGTTGAAATTAACAGGAACTAAGTACACACTTTTAGTAAAAAACTGTCTTAATACGTCATAGTAAGTTGCTTTCTCTTACCCATTTCCCGAAGTACTGGAGCACCCTGGAGAGTGACTCAGAGAGGTGCTGCCAGCACAAGGACTCTTCTTAGTGGATAAATCAAGCACACCGTCTGTAGAAACAAAAGAATTATTTCAGTGTTTGAAGAAGTAGGATCAGCCATGCTGATCTTGTTTTCAGCTGAAAAGACAAAGCAAGTCATCTGAGCTGAAGTCACTTTTTGCACACAACATTTTTCGATTTATTGTAATTTTAAACACAGCAAAGCTTAGATTTTTTTTTTTTTTTTTTTTTTTGCAATATGGTTTACATGTGACTTCAATATAGTCTTCAGAAATCACAATAAAAATCAAACAAAATTAAAAGTGTATCTGTTACAAGAGACATAGAATAACAAATTACCTACAAGTGACAGTCCTGGATACAACAGAGCCTATCACATAACTACCTCTCAGTGGTCCAGAACTGAGACAATCTACAAGATTCGTCGACCTGAGATATTCATCTTAAAGGGAGGCTGCAAGTCAGTTTTTGGATTGATTTTATTTTTTTATTTTTGTTTTTTAAATCCAAATCCCTTGTAGGAAATTTCACTGAGAATTTCATATTGAAAATTAAATGAACACACATCTAGATGTGAGATTCCTTCTCATGTGGCAGCCAGCTTCATCTTCTTTTTTCATGTCCCCAATGGGTCCCTACTGGAAAACCTGCTGCCTTTCTCCTCTGTTGTGTCATTTTATTCACTCTCTTCCAATGCCAAATTGGTTTTCCTGTTAGACTGCTTCCTCCACTTTCACTAACAGCACTTCCTCATGCTCCCCCCATGCTCTCCTGCGAACCCTTATGTAAATTCTGCACTTATAGGCACCAGAAAAGGGAGCATGTTTCACCAGAAAAGCTTTGCTCCTGCTGCGCTGAAGCAGGTTGAAATTATGGTCATTTTAATAAGGGCAACACTGTCATTGAAGCAGCCCAGCCATCTGAAGTTCCTGGAAACTTCCAAACGAGGAAGTTATGAGGCAAACATAAATGAAACCTTGTTGGCAGAGTGAACTTGAGACTTATCAGAGCTCCTCACTCATTCCTTCTAATCAAGTGAATACCACCCAACACAAGAACAATGTAAGACAGCTTTCAGATTGCTTAAAGTTCTCATTTGACATATGGAGAAAAAACACGATAAACAGTGAACTAGAATTAACTTATGGAAAGCTGTTCCACCCACTGCATTTGGGAACACACCATAACCCAAACTTAAGCAAGCAGAAAACTAAATTTTCCTTTTGAACAACACTTATGCAGGCACAAGAGACACAGACTGGGTCAACTCCTTCCTTCTTTTCAAGAGGCTGGACAGCACAGGCAGCTGCTGGAGGCATTTGCATCCATGCTTTCTCCCTCAGAAGGGTCAGTATAACCCAGAAGCCCCTGAGGGGAAGCAGGGCCAACCTCACACCCTAGGGAGAAGCTAACTAGCTGGGTTCCCCTCAACCCACTAGAACAAAATATAGCACACAGCACGACTAGCAATCTTTCATGACAGCCTCTGAAATCTCTCATTAACAAGTTTGGCAAAATCTCTTTCCAATTATATTAAATGTAAATTGGGAAAAAAATTTACATCAGCAAACAGATTACTGTATAAGTCAATATGCACATGTTCGATTTTCATAACAAGTGTTATGAACATTATACATTATCTTACAGCTTTTTCCATCACATGGTAGCTAAAGAGCAGTTCATGTACGTGCTTTCTTCTTCACCATACCATCCTTCAGTTAAAAAGGAGCAAAGCAAAACTGATTCTCTCCCTCTTCTTTTCAGCAAGAAGTTTAACAATGAAAACAGCTTAACATTTATAAACATACATGCAAAACACACTCACAAAATGCATTTATAATAAAGACAGCTAGAAAAAAATGCCTATCAGCCAACTGTACAGGTCCACATTTCAAGAGAGACACTATTCAACCTCTCACTGCAGTTTGTAACTGAAGTGCAACGACAGCTTTCAGTAGTGTTCTAAGTGCAGTATGTGTCCAGATGTCCAAGCTGCATATTACAGGACACATAAAATTATCCTGATTACAAAAAGCTTCATAAACCAAATTTAAAATAATAAAGAGATACCTACTCATCTGTCCTAGCTAGAAAAAGGTTATTGTTTTTTTATTTTTTCTGTAGGTACCTTTTCCATTTGCAGATGGACAGCCTACTGTGACAGAATGACTTCAAGCACTAACATTTTTCTGAAGAAGGGTAAAGGGTCTAATTTTAGTCAGTACAATACACTTAGGATTCAACAGTTTTAGAAAAGAAAAGTTCATATACTATATCACTCACAGAATTTGCTTCTTTAAAAAAAAAGGCATTTTTGATGGAAAGCAAGGTTTTTGAATTAAAATAAGCTCTGAAACACTGTTATGAGTTATTCAATCTGTGCTCTGCAGAACAAGTCTATTTTTAAGGTAGAAAAGAGACATTTCTTCCAAATGCACAAACCTGGAAGTTTAGTGCAGTTCATGGGTATCATTTTTATACCCTTCACAAAGCAGTTTCTCACAGACTTTTAAATTATACTCTTCTCACACCACAACCAGAAAGAAAATAAATCAGCCTTTCAGTCAGACTGTGCACTAACATTCAGAAAACAACGTTATGATTTTCATAACCACATGAACTTCTCTTATCAGCGAGCGTACAGTCTATTTTGGCAGACTGTTTCTTGCAGCTCCCAGTAGGAACAGCACATTTATCCTCGGAGTCTAGAGCATGTCCATCCCCTTTACCCTTCTTCAGAAGAATCTCTCATGTCTATAGGTCTACATTCCTTCAAAAAGTCTCTTCTCTCCCAGCCACACTGAACTTGAGTTCAGTCATTATTTTATTGTAATAACATCTACTACTTTCCCACTTGACATTTTATGCAAAAGTGCAACCTTCTAATTGTCTGTTTCTGTAACAAGAATGCCATTAATGGATTGCCATAGGATGCAAGACACTGGTAAGAGTCCTACCTTGTTCACTAGGTTCTGACTGAGACTTTCTGACAGTAAGGTCCAGAGGTGAGTCTTGGTCAGCCATGAGCAGTTTGCTGAGCACAGGGTTCTGAGCAGTTGCAGCCGTGGGAGAGGAGGCGACCAGAGATGCTTTCAGCAGGCTTTGGTTCTTTGTGCTATTGGGCTGGCTGGAGTCCTGAGTAGAGCTATTTTTTGAGGTATATTCAGCAGCAAACTGTCGGATCATTCGCTGCATGATCTCACGGGCCACTAGGGGAATATTGGGGTCAGAGACCCTAGGACTGTCTGCAAATATTAGAGATTTCTTTTAAGGAAGCACTTTAAGTAAAACAGCTTTTATATTAAGTCATTTTATTTACGAAAAAAATCAAGGGGGAAAAAAAAGCCAAAGATAAAATAGTTTCTGTAGAAAATGTACTTTAGTCTTAAAATACCTGAATAAGAACCATTGCTAATTCTGGTACAGCCTTCCCAAAATAACACTTTGCTAAAAGAAATACACAATTTCATATTTTGTTTTAAAATATAAATATATTTGACCAGACCGTTAAGAGGTGTGGAAACAGAAAAGTGCCAAGTAATGGAGCTCATCCAAAGATACTGGACAGGTTATAGAGTGGAAGAATTGCATAACTTACCTGCAGCTACAGAAGGGTAAAATGGTGAATAAAGTTGTGGTAATCCCCCGTAAGTTTACTGAGAAATAAAGCCCTATAGATCTGGTCATTTAAAATTATTCACATGAAGATCAAATGCTCAAGTGTATTCTATCTCATTCTATCTATTCCTTTTGATATTTCAACCATTGTAATCAATGCAGGATCAGGAATTACCTAAAGAACTTGCATATACACAAAACCCCAAGATCTGTCACATGACAAGTAATTCTATTTCTAGAAAAGCTGCTAAATCTATTAGTAAAGGATGTGAAATAGAACAAGTAGATATTCCAACTTATTTATATGAAATAGTGTATAAATAAAAAAATACCTGGGCATGTGGGCAACCCAAACATTTACTGACAAAAATCACTATTTTAGACCAGTAAAATGTGAAAGTAAATCTGTAACTCCTAAATCACAAAAGCTAAGACCTGCCATTTCACTTGAAACACTGTTTTCTGACCAAATCAGTTTTGGGTTTTTTTAAACAAACAAACAAACAAACCCACACCCCAAAAAAACCAAACCAACAACAACCACTAACCACCCACAACACCCACAAAAAAACCCCAAAGCACAGAGAACCACACCACTATTCCAGAAATGGCTCAAAAGGCTTGATTTTCTATTACCAAAGAAACATTCAGAAAAAAAACTATATAGCAGATGACCAAAAAAATCTTTAAAAGCAGCTCTCAAGAGGGAACAATAGAGAAGTATTTAATACCTCTTTTAAAAAAATTGCCCAGATTGAAAGGCAATCTATTGAGATTGAGCTATTAGAAGCATTAGCAAAATTTTCTGTGGGACCCTTTCAGTGTTAGATTTGCCTTTTGCCACCATTTTTTTGTCAAAAGTACACCAATCCAACAAATCAACTTTACTGTCTGTGTAAAAGATGACTGACATGAAGGTTTGAGCAGAGCTGCCCACAAATCAAAGAGCAGCAGTAGCAGCCTGTTTCTTGATGAAACACAATATTGAGCTCTAAATGCTTATCAAGCCCAAACTCCTTTCTGCCCAGCTTTCTATAGCTAAGATCTTATACAGTCACCACATACTTTCTTACAGTAAATTTCAGCAAATCTCCTAAATTTCCAGGATGTTTATGTAAATATGTAACCATTTTCTTTAAAACATCCTGTAGATTTTACTTGTTGTTAAGTATCAAATACTACAGTTTTAAGAAGACACCAAAAAATGAGCCAAACTTAAATTTTGGTACATTTATAATCTCACTTGCTTCCCAAATGGTCCACAAGGACACCAGCCTGGAAAAGTGTGGAGGCATTTCTTCAACTTTTCTAATCTCTTCACTATAATCTCCTGAAGGATATAGAAAGGCTCTAGGGAGGCCCAGAGGGACACGATTTGATGGCATGATCACAAAGATACCAACTGTTTGACATGTGCTTGCAGCATATACAAGTGGGGCTGGCAGGAATGCAGAGCTCTATGGCACTTGTGTTTTCTGAACGAAGAATCAGCTCCGCACTGTGTTCATATGTTCATTTAAAAAATGCTTACATCTGAACATATTTACACATTCAGAAATAAAATATTAGATATGCCTAGAGCCATGCATCCTTGCAATCTGCAACTTCGAAGAATCAGCTCAGAATGACAACTTTCTAGTGCTGTTCAAGATAAATGCACTAATTCAGGTCACAAAACTCCATTTTCAAGCAGAAGGGTAGGTACCTTCTTGCCTAATATAAAGCCTGAATGCTAAGGATTAAAGCTGTTCAAAAGTGAGTAGAAAATATGTGCTGGTGCCCCTCCAGCATCACTTGGAATCAACCAGACATTTATCTTGACTCCACCTGTCCTGGATATTTTTATGAAAATAAAACTAAAATTAACTAAAACAGAAATTCTCAGAGAATAAAAAATACAGCAAAAAATTATCAGCTATAAATAGTCTAAAGCAGTACTCTGAGCTTTAAAGCCTTAACAGCTTTTGTGTATACTTATACTATAATCTTAAAAGTGCAATATCAAACAAATAAATGTATGATTTCATTAAATCAGAAGAAGGTCCTAGCACAAAATAAAGGTAACAGACAACTAAGTACTACCACTCTGCTTTGACTGGAAAAATATGAATATTTGAAGGAAGCATTACTAGCTTGAAGTGCCAGTGACACAATTTTCAGAGAAAGGACTAAGATCAATGGACAGTAAACCTATTCAAAAAGTTTGCTGATCTTGTTAATTCCCTATTCGTGTTCAGTATATGAATGTGTGGCCAGCGTTCAAAGAGAATCTTTATTTTCTCTGATCTACCTGGGCTACAAAATTCCCATCTAAAATGTTACTGGCAGTGAAAATAGAAAGAGGAAAAAAACTAATTGCTGGCATGAAGCCAGGTGAGCTCAGCATCTCTGAGCAATGAAGGAATATCAGAGTTCTGCCCTTCTTTGTGTCCTCTTTTGTACAACAGTGCCTTGGGATCTCATGGCACAAGCATGAGTTAAATTTCAAGCAATCTAAATAGAGGCAAGCTTGAAAATCATACATTAAGGATTCAGAACTGACTTCCTGCCAAGCTTCTACCCCTTGCCTACTACTCTTGCACCAAGCACAGCTTTGTCCAAAGAAAGAAAATAAAAGTATATTTTAAAAAAAAAATTTCAAGGATTCTTTGACATCTGACATGTTTATTATCTTTATTCTGGGTATCCAGCCATGGACAGACCATTACACCCTTCATTAGCACACTGCAGTATCTGCTGCTGGCTCCCCAATGAATTTTAAAAAGTACTTTCCTAAAAGACACATACACACACATCAGACATGAAGATTTAAGTTCAGTGGTAGAGGAATGAAGTCTTTAATAAATAATTTGGAAATTATGGCAGGGCTTTTTTTTTTTCCCTCACCAGAAAAAGCAATATGGAAAAAACCTTGTTTTCTCTAGACTTTAGTTTTCTTAAATTCCTGCTGGATTTGAAGATAAATGGGATAAACTCAAAAGCAAAAGGAAACATTAACCTTACAAGAAAAAAGAAAACTTGAAAAGGAAGCCTTGGAATAAAGGCATTATCTGAACTATCAGTAGTAATGCAGTAACTATCCTTCCTACCATCCCACATGTATTGCAAAAAGTATAGAAGCATCATAATGTGTAGCTTGTATTTATTCATTTGAGTCATAAAAGAAAGGCTAAGATAGTGTTATCTACTTAAAACACCTTTAAATATTTTGGTCACTGGAAGGAAGGGATGAGGACTACTACTGCTGGCTACAGCAATTTCTAATTTGTGAAACTGAAGCCTTGCATTGTCCCCCAGCAGATAGGTTGGAATTACTGATTTGGCAGATTTTCTCACACATGGGTTAGACTGATAAGTATGATGCACTTTCATTCAGGATGCATTTGGAAGCAACCTCTGGATTCATGTGTCTTAGATTTGTAGAAAACAGTGAAATGAGCTCTGTGCCTTTCTTAAGAGCACAGTTTAAGCAACAACTCTCCAGAAGATGTTTAGGTGATATTCTATCATTGAGCATGTTCTTAGCATATTCTACAGCAATTCTTTTGCTGATCACGTTTTGAATTCTTCATATATCCCCCTTAGCACGATTCAAATAATATTTTATAATCTGGATTGTTAGGAATAGGGTGGGTAATAATTACCAATAGTGAAAAGACTCATGACCTTTAAGAAAAACTGCATTAGTACATATCCCATCAAAATAAAATATATATTTAAAAAAAAACCACATTACCCACCTACTACCGCCACTGCGACTTGACCTTTCTTCCAAACAGCCCACTCACCTAAACACTGGTTATGGGGAACAGTTCTGCGGGTAAGAACTGAGTCATTTCTCCAAAAGTGAGAACACCAGTGTTCATATGCAGACATTTGGTTTAGGGTTAAACAGTTATACTCTGCCAATGTCCCAAGCCTACACTGTTATATTGCTACGTTACTTGAGAGTAAATTTTTATCCTTGATAAATACATATAAAGAAGATGCCTGAAAAATACTGAACATACAACATGAACATAAGATCTTTGATACCCCCATTGCATGCAAAAAGACCACAAGAGAGACTATTTCCCACATCCTCCTCCCCCAGTAAAACCAACCTTTTCTGTAAAAGACTGCATTGAGGAACTCTTCCGCTTGCCTTTCAAAACGAATGATTTTTGCTTGCTCTTGTCTAAGCAGAGCTTCTTGTCCAGCTTCCGAGGCTGGCTCATCCAGACTGACTAAGTGTTCCTGCAAAGATATTTAATATTTGTAAGATCTTCCAGACTCCAAAATTAATAAAGTTCCCCATGAGCACTCAATATTTTACTAGATTCAAAACTTTTTAGGGTACTCAGCACAAAGTTCAATTTACTGAAATCAAAACCTGTTTTTTTGCCTGCATCAGAACATTGTATTTTGTCCTGTTTCCCTATTGTAAATTAGGCTGGTTTGAAGGTAGACCAGCAGGAGGAATCAACCCCATGAAAATACTTTGCAAGTGATTTCAAGACAGAGCTACAATTTAATAGGAAAGTTACAACAAAGGCAATAGTACAGAAACACTGGCTTAAAGTGATAAAGCCAGACTACAACTGGGCACCCTGTTCGTCAGGGTGGTGGTGGCAGTCTGATTAAATGGTGGCTGTAGTCCCATTGAAATGACGGATGTGGACTTGTCAAAGCAGTGGTCCTGTGAAAAAGTCTGGTCCTTCCCTGGAGGTCCAGTGGTGGTTCCCTCAAGTCCCCAAACCTCAAGTTCATACACCCTCAAATTCAAGCAGGAATGTTCAGTACCTCCCCCAGGACAGGGAATTTTACAATGGAATTATGTAATCCTATGAGACATAGGATATTTTGGGGAGTCCTTGATGGCACATTAGCAGAGATGACCACCCTTAGGCTCGGTGTAACAAAGAGAACACTACACCCAACTCACAGGTGGGGTATGCAGCTGTTACAAAGGACCCCCGCTAACAGTTCATCAGAAGGTGATGGAGGTGGTAGTAGAATACATACTTTGGTGACACCTTACATTGTAACCCAAGACATTATCCACCCCTTATTCTACACCATCTACATCATACCCAAAATAATACCTTTCTTTAACTCTGCTTATATATATTTATATATATATAACTATACATATACACACAATGAAGCATTATACACAGTTCTCACTTAAAATTAGGTCCCATTGAGGTTCACAACAGCTTTCCCCATCTTTGTGCATTACTCAGCAAGTGTAACTAGGTCCTTGAGCAATAAGAATCCAATGGATGGATCTGCCACCATGCCTGAGGTGGGATTAATCAAACTATCTTTCCTAACATATCTCTCATGTATACCACAGGGACTTTATCTCCATTTACAGTGTGCAAGGGTTCTGACTGGGCAGGATCAGATTGATTGATGGAGCTTCAAGTGCTGACAAACCAAGTGGCCTTTGCTAAATGCAGCTCCAAATTTTTGAAGGTTCCCATTCCCAATCCTTCAGGGTGATTTTAGCAGTCCACTGCACCGTTCAACTTTCCCAGCAACTGGTTCATGATAATGATAATGGTACAGCCACTCAATGCCATGTTCCCTAGGCCAGGGAATGATAATGTTGCTCTTGAAATAAGTCCCATTGTTGGACTCAGTTCTTTCAGGGGTGCCATGTCTCCACAGGACTAGCTTTTCCACGCCCAAGATGGTGTTCCAGGCAGTGGCCTGAGGCACAGGGTAGGTCTCCAGACATCTAGTAGTTGCTGCTACCATGGTTAGCACAAAGCACTTGCCTTGGCAGGTTTGGGGAAGGGTGATGTAGTCAATTTGCCAGGCTAACATTTTGACCACTGTCCACCATACCATAGAGGCTTCATCCACTTGGCCTGCTTGATTGCAGCACACGTCTCACAGTCATGGATGACCTGTGAGATATTGTCCATGTTGAAGTCCACCCCTCAGTCACAGGCCCATCAATACGTCCCATCTCTTTGCTGACGACTGGGGGCATTGACGGCCTAACAAGTTAGAAGTAACTGTCCTTTCTGCTACCAGTCCAGATCCATCTGAGATACTTTAACCCTGGCAGCTCAATCCACCTGCTTGTTGTTACTGCATTAGCCTCACTTTTGGGTACACGTACATCAATGTGATGGACCTTCACAGTCAGCTTTTCTACCTGGGCAGCAATATCTTGCCAGATCTCAGCAGCGCAGATGGGTTTCCCTGGGCGCTGCCAGGTGGCCTTTCTCCACCAATCCAGCCATCCCCACAGAGCATTAGCTACCATCCCCAAGTCAGTGTAAAGTCCTGGCCACTTCTCTCATTCAGCAATATTCAAAGCCAGCTGGATAGCTTTAACCTCTGCAAGTTGACTTGATCTGCCTTGTCCAACAGCAGCTTCTGCAGCTTTCTGTGTGGGGGTCCTTAGAACAGCTTTCCATTTCCATTTTTTCCCTACAATTCAGCAGGAACCGCTGGTAAAGAGGGTGCTATCACTTTTCATTCTCTGGTAGTTGGTTATATGGTGGGGCCTCCTCAGCACATGTCACCTGCTCCTCTTCTTCTTCAGAAGATAGTCCAAAATTCTCACCTTCAGGCCAGTTTGTTATGATTTCCAGAATCCCAAGGTGATTAGGATTTCCTATCTAGGCTTGCTGTGTGATCAGTGCAATCCAGTTTCTCCACATGGCATCAGTGGCATGATGCGTAGAAGGAACGTTCCCTCTGAACCGCCAGCCCAGCACTAGTAGTCAGGGTAACAGAAGCAGCTGTGCTTTGGTGCCAATCACTTCTGAGGCAGCTTGAACTCCTTTGTAGGCTGCAATAATCTCTTTCTCAGCTGGGGTATAGGTGGCCTCAGATCCTTTGTATCCTCAGCTCCAGAACCCCAGCGGTCATCCTCAGGTCTCCCCAGGTCTCTGCCAGAGGCTCCAGGAAGGACCATTCTCCCCGGCTGCAGTGTAGAGCACATTTTTATATCCTTCCCTGTCATGACTGGCCAAAGGGCTAATGCAAGGGCAATCTCCTGTTTAATTTGTTCAACAACTTGTTGTTCAGGGCCCTATTGGAAATCATTTTTCTTTTGTGCCATGAGTTTGAGGGGATTTACAATTGTACTGTACTCTGGGATATGCATCCTCTAAAAGCCCACAGCACCTAGGAAGGCCTGTGTTTCTTTCTTGTTGGTTGCTGGAGACATAGCTGTTTTTGTTAATCACTTCTGTTGAAATCTGGCAGTGTCCATCTTGCCACTTTACTCCCAGAAACTGAATTTCTTGAGCGGGTCCCTTAACCTTACTTTGTTTAATGGCAAGCTTTCAGGATAATCTGGATCATCTTCTCTCCTTTCTCAAAGACTTCCCCGGCTGTGTTCCCCCATATGATGGTGTCATCGATGTACTGCAGATGTTCTGGAGCCTTACCCTTTTCCAGTGCAGTCTCGATCAGACCATGGCAGATGATGGAATCTGCTGCCACCCCTGGGACAGTCAATTCCAAGCATATTGCACACCCCTCCAGGTGAAGGAAAACTAGGGCTTGCACTCTGCTGCCAAATGAACAGAAAAAATCAATGTCAATGGTCTCATGCCACTTTACTGCCTTGGACTCCAGTTCATACTGAAGCTCCAGCATGTTCAGCACAGAAGCACTCAGTGGTGGCATGATTTAATTCAGGCCACGGTAATCCACTGTCAGACTCTATTCTCCACTGGATTTATGCACTAGTGATATAGGGCTGTTAAAGGGTGAATGAGCCTTGCTGACCACCCCTTGGCTCTCCAGTTCCTAAATCATCTTATGGATGGGAATCACAGTCTTGGTCAGTGTGGTATTGCTGACTGTGCACTATTGCTGTGGCAATTAGTAACTGTTGTTCTTCAACTCTTAGCAGTGCCACAGCAGAGGGGTTGTCTGAGAGACCAGGCAGGGTATTCAGTTGTCTGATTTCCTCTGTCTCTAGAGCAGCTATCCTAAAAGCCCAGCAATGTCCTTTTGGGTTTTGAGATAGTCTATGCTGAGGATGCACAGGACCTCTGGACCAGTCATGATGGAGTGTTTTTGCCACTCCTTCCCAGCCAAGCTCACTTCAGCATCCAGTAACAGTCAGATGCTGGGATCCCAATCACCTTAGAAATGGAAATGGATTCCATGCCCACATACGTTGATGACATCAGGGTACACTGAGTGCCGATGTCAACCAAAGGCATAAACCTTTGTGGTTCAGAGACGCTAGGTCATCAGATCCACACAATCCAATAGATCCAATTGTCCCTTTCCTCTACCTGACTAGAGGCAGGCCTGCTCTAATCCCAGTCATGGTACACATTGCTCTCTTCCTGCAAATATGACCTTGAGATCCCTTCAAGAGGGTCATATCATTCCTTTACCACCTGGAGTCTTGTCTACAAGAGACCGGAGCAGTGTTGACCCTAGATAAGCTTCTTGCGGTAGTTGTTCCTCCTTTCAGTTCATGTACTCAGGTGGCTAGGGAAGAGATGGGTTTTCCATCCCATTTCTTCATGTCCTCTCCATGCTCCTGAAGGAAAAAGAGGTTACCTCATGAAGTGTATCCTCTCTCCTTGGCTGGGGGACACCCGGTCCTAACGGCAGAGACTCTTCTTGGTTCTGGCAAGATGTGGTAAATTCCTTCCTTAAGCTCTTTTCTCAGTTTCTGGTGGCCCTCTTCAATTTTCTCTTCCAAGCTCTGGACATGCTCAGCCAGCTTTGTTTCCACAGATGAGACGTGGGTGCATAACAGGGCAGTGACAGTGTCCTTGTAAAATCTTAGCTTGTTGACCAATGTACACGCCTTGTCCTTTCCTTCCTTCCATTGCAGTGTTGCTAAGTTGTGGGGGTATATTTCTGGTCCAAGCCATCCGAATTTCAACCATATTTGTGATGTGCACTGGACACTGTCTGGCCTCTTAGGGAATCTTTCATCTGCCAAAAAAATTATTTCCAGCACAGCCAATTCCCTTAGGCATTGGATACCTTGTTCCATTGTGCTCTACATTCCTTGCTGCACATGGACATCCTCTTTACAAAGGTATCTATCCCTTATACTTGCCAGTAGCCACTACCAGAGGCTGAGAGTTTCCTGGGTTTCCCTGATTCACTGGTCAATGACCAAATCCTGGGACAGCAATCCCAGTTGTCCAACCTCACGCCTTTTCAGAATGGTGTCATTAGCTGCAGTGTCCCAGATGCGGAGCAGTCAGGCCAGAATGGACTCGTTTACCTGGCAGGTGAACTCCCTCTGC